CCCAGTCTGGTGCTCTTCAGCAGTACGCAACCACGAACAGGGGTCGAACCCAGGACCTCCCGGTTGCAACGTGAGCTCATGCGTAGGTAGTTACCTGGGGTTCTAGTAGGACGTCGTGATCAGTAGGGTGCAGCAGGTCGGGTATGAGGACAAATACTCGCCAAAGACAGTGGCTAGGGGTCATGCTATGTCGTGAATTGGCATAAGTTGGAATTCACAGACTGGTCATTGGATTAGATCCCAGTTGTTTAATGGTCGATGAGCTGGCTCACCGTGTAACTAGAAGGTACTGGGTTCGAACGTGGCGGTGGGTGCGTACTGATGAAGAGTCCCAAACTAGGCTGACGAAACAGCTGTCCAGTACTCCCAGGTTTTCCAATGGTTCTGTAACCGATGTTAGCTCATGATGAAATCTTGTAATCAGTGTTTATGTTCCATCCCAAATAATAAAATGCAGAAACGATAATCAGTTCTAATAATATAATGAATAGTAAACAAGGTTTAGAAAACATCACATAATTTTATAATCTATTTTTTCTAACTGTGGAGACAAAAGCCAAAGTAATACTGATCCGTCTTTGAACAGAAAGACATGTAGTCAAGTTGACATGTGTGTAAAACGTGAACACTGTAGTAGCATTTAATTCCATATTAACTGGTTTATTGGATGTCACACAGTGAAAGAGTATTATTTACTGAATGACGTTTCGACCAAAATCTACTGTTCATAATCATGTCATTTGAAGATGAAGTACTTGAAAGATATATTGTATAGACAGGTTTAAGTGTAAACTACTACTATACATCACAAATATTTAAACATGCAATATTTAATAATAATATAATCACTACATCGCTGAATTAGATTAGTATAAAGTGTAGGTCTTGAAGTAAGGAAATGCTTATGCGCTGTCTACGACATTTTATACTTTGATTTGCTAAGGCACTGTTGAATAACATACACAATATGCCTTTCACTAAGTCACTGTATGAAAGACGATTATTACTGACAGCAGTAAAGTCTAAATTCCTCCAACTCAGGATTTGTTTTTACTAAATTACTTTTTTTCCATTGTATGTTCCGTGTCAGTTAGGTGTCTGGTGACTGTGCTTGAGAACACTTTGTTGCCCACTTGGCTTCAAACGGAGCCTGGTGAAAACGCCCATTTCACCAGAGTTAGGGAGTTGTGTTCAAAAGATAAAGCTGAAGATGAACTCTCAGTCATCGAAAAGAACCTTATCGAAAATGGATATCCTCGGAAGTACATATCAAAACACGGGAAGGGAAAACCATCTAGACCGAAACCCGAAATAGTTGAAGAGAAACCAGTTTTAATATGTCGGGCATAAAATGGTGAGGAAGTATCATTGAAAAGAGAAAATCGAATTAAAGCTGCATTGAAACAAACATTTCCCGCCGCTTGAATCATTGCACTTTAAAAAAAAAATGCTTGTTAACCCAGTCAAAGGTAGATAGGTATCCTGATTTGACACTAGTAACTAGTGTGATGCGTCTAGTCCTCTGATTGGTGTAGACTGAATTCTATCAGTCGAGTGCCAACTAGCACGAAATCTAGGTCCAAGGCTTCCAACCATCTAATACCATCAGATACGTATCCTGCTCATGAAGAAACAAAAGAAAAATTCAGCGAAGAAAATTTTCTTTATCGACGAAATCATCTTCACAGGCTGTACAGTAGGATTTATATTTACCAACAATGTATGGTAGTCTGTTATCGAGTAGTAGGGGTGATATAATTGATATAATTACCCAGAAGTGGCTTTAGAAGTAAAAAATTAAAAGCTGTAAATTACGTGGTACACAAACTTAGAACTTTGATAAGGTTAAAATTGCTATTGCGTGAGAATAAAGGCAGTTGAGTGTCAATTTAACAAGTGTGAAGAGGGTGTGAAAATGTACAAAAGGAACATATGAGAGTGATAATAGGGAATTAATTATTAAAATAAAAGCAAACTAAAAATAAAATTGAAAATTAAAAAGAAAAAATTTTTTTTTTTTGCAGGAACAGCTAGTGAAGAGATTAAGAGCAGGGTAGGATAAGCGACTGGACAAACTTTTTCTGTGTACAGAGTTAGGGATTGTATTGACCAATTGCCAGCGCCTACGCCAAACACAATCCCTAGTTGGTTTTTACAGATATGGGAATCAATTTTATCTTATAATAAAATAAAAGTTAGGCTGATTAACTGATTAAAATTAAAGGTTTCATTTGTGATTTTTTTCTGCCTACTTTATCAGAGTAATTTTATAAGCCTACACACTTAAGCGTGACTTACAACTTACTGAATACACACGTTTCGGGTGACTGAGTAAGTTGTATCACATTACTGGTCTCACAGCTATAAAGGAGGAGACATAAAATCAGTTAAAATCAAACAGTAACTGATACTTTTACGAAAAGCTTTTGAATTTCACAACTCAGCTTAACTAATACATAGCTAACTTTTTGTACTGCATCAAAACTTAAAAACAAATAAATTTTATGAGGTTATAATTATACGTTTAGTACTTTTTGTCAGTGTAAATCAGTTTGGTTTGAATCAAAGAGTTAAATGTAGTTCATTGTTATTTGGTTGGTGATGGATAACAGTGAAATTCAGGACACATCTTTTGCACTATTCAGGACTCATCATCTGCATGAATCTTCATTCCTCTCGAGGATCGGATCCATCATTATTCGTTAGGCTAGTAAAATATGACAGCCGCCTACTGTGCATTAGTTATTGCATATAACAATTAATAACAAATTCACTTGTTATATCTGCTGAAAGTGATTGATCTCTGAATAGTTTCCATCATGAACTGACATCAGCTATGGAACCGCTTTATAATCGAAAAGATATTTCATCACAGACTGGAACTTTCCAACTGCTACTAATAAGTAACATTCAATGGTTGTTACATTATTTTGCTAGTTGTAAATTAAAAATCATAAACTGTTTCATTCCACTTCACTGGGTATAGGGTGACTTGTAAATCTAAATATCTGACGATACAGAATTTGATCTACCATAGTGTCAATTATTTGCTTCAAAACAGTTGACAGTGATTCATAAGACTGGTGAATATTGTTGTATATATGATCAAGGTATACTGATTGCAGTAGACTGCATAATGCGACAGACAACAGGCAATGAGGAAACAGACATAAAATGGACTCACACAAAAAACTTGGAGGATCTGGACTTCGCCGATGAGATATATATGTCTGATTTCTCACAAACTGGAAGATATGCAAGTGAAAAGCAACAACTTGGCAGAAGAAGCATCCCGAGAAGATACGACTCCAGGTGAACATAAAAAAAAGAGGTGATGATGATTCCTGGCCAACACCAACAGCAACAACAACAACAGACAACAATCAGCTAGCATACATGGGAGGAACCTGAAAGAAACAACCTCCTTCGCCTGCCTACCTGGGAAGCATCGTTTCAACTACAGGCGGACAGAACTGATCAGCATATCAAGGCGATGATTGGGGAAGGAAAGCAAGCTTTCATTACTATCAAGAATGGGTAGAAATCAACAGCACCCTGTATGAAAAATACGACCCGGATTTTCAACTCCAATGTGAAGTCAGTGCTACTTACTATACGGATCAGAGACTTGGCCAGCGCGTCGTAAAGAGCATCTCAAACAAACTACAGACCTTCATCAACAGCTGTCTTCGCTCAATACTCAAGATCAGATGACCGGCGAGAAATGATCAGCAACAGGGATCTCTAGGAGCGGACGAACTCACCAGGAACCAATTGTGTAACAAATAAGCAGGAAGAGATGGAGATGGATTGGCTGGCCATACTCTGAGGAAACCATCAAGTGAGTGACATCACTAGACAAGCCATTGCTCGAGTGGGACCCGAACGGGAGGCGGCGAGTTGGTCGTCAGTGCAAGGGTGACTTGGAGGATGTCATGTGAGGAGGAGATGAAAGCATGTGGGCAGACCTGGAGCGGAGTGAAAAAGTTGGCAGAAAACAGAAGGCAATGGAGACGCGCAGCTGAAGCCTTATGTTCCTCTAGGAATTAAAGGACATAATAATAATACATGATATGAAAAAACTATATAAATTATATGCTAGAAAACAACTTCTAGTGAATACTGAAACCAAGAGAAACGAATCAAACTGAATGACTTTGTGGAAAATTTAGAAGCTTAAGTGTTTTTAAAATAACAGAATACTACAGAAATGTAACAAAGGCAATCTATGATAACAGTAACTCATGGGTCATATTTGTCCAACTGTTTTGAAAGTTATACAGAAACTGGCTTCTAACTTGGTATCAGCATTCTGGTGATAAAAAGAGCTATTATTATGACTGATTAATCACCAGGGTGTAGTCCATGTCATGTTTCCAGTCCTCAGTATTGGTTCTGATGGATTGTGTTAGTCATATATAAACTTTAATCACCATGGTATGTAACTTGCCATGGTGGTTCACTTTAAGTTGACTGTTTTAAGCATTCAAGTTTTATATGATGGATCTGAGATTGAGATTCTGACTGGATAATCAAATGTTATCAAAAAAACCTGGCACATTAGTTATGGCTTTTAATTTAGTATGTAAAAGACTGTACTTGTTAGTATCAGATGGTTGGAGGCAATCGGAAGGAAGCCACACCTTCCTAAGGAAGCATGACTTAGGTTTCGTTATAGTTGGCACTCACCAATCAGCAGGGCGTATCTGCAACCTTGAAGGAACTCATGTCCGTTCTGAGATTTGAACCCGCATCACCCAGTGCTGCAGTCAGAGACGTTATCACTGAGCTATTCAGAGTCGCAACCGACCTCTTGTAAGACTGTATAGGATATTTTTGCTTGGACACTAGTCAGTAACTGGTACAATGTGCCTAGTCCTATCTCTAATTTCACTACGTTCTCACTATGTAACTCATACATGAATACGCTACAATTACAAGCAGTTGTAAATAAGAATGAATATTTTTTATTATAAGAAAAAATAAACGTTTTCATTTACCTTAAATTGTAAAAAAGGTGCTGTTGTTCGACTTGCATATACCAGTTGATCTGATAATAAAAAGAACATTCTTGCTTGATAGCCTTTTTTAGACAACTTTTGAAGCCAGCCTTCACGAATAAACTGTCTATTGGGATGATATACAGGTCCTAATGAATGAGAACCACATGTGGATGCATGAATTGGAGTTTGTTTATTACTACTATTATTAGTAGTAGTATTAGTATTGTGATTATCATAATTTGACTTTTCATTTTGTTGTAATGTAGAATATTGAGATAACTCAAAGGATGATATTAAATCTGGATTAAAGCCAATTAAATCTCTTTGAATTTCTAATAGTTTGTATGTATTTTCTATACGTTTATAAGATTCCCATTGTGATTGAATAAGATCATTTAATTTAGCATGTGCAACTGAAATTTAAAGAGAGAACATTATAAATACTTGACATTAATAATAATAATAATAATTTGAAATGAAATAATAACACAGCTCCTAAAGAATGCAGTAAATAAGGAGCATTCAGTGCAACAGAAGTATATTGTATCCTCACAACCACTCCATTTTTCATTGGGGAGAAATAAGAATAAAAACTACCTGATTTCTCCACCTCTAGATGTATCTACCAGTTTGGCTGCTGCTTTGAATCTATTTACATTGGGCATATAATTAAGCGAGTTCATTGTCAGATTTATGAACAGTTATCCTGCATGCTTTACAAATTCATCTTCTTTAGACAGCTGAGGTTGTCCTAATCTAATATGAAGTAGCCACACCTAAGTGTGTGTGTAAAAGAAACTCATGCAATTATTTCCCTTGTCTTCACCACAGTTATATAAAACTGACCTTTCCCCCCACCCCACCCCCACCCCTCCCAACAGTTCATTTACCTAATCAATTCGGACACTCATTCACTTGTTAATTACTCCTCTTATTTCTCCCAAATTATACCATGTGTAATCTACTTGTTTGGTTTTCGAATGGTTGAGAACAACAGATTGTTCATTTCATCGGCTTCTCATCATCTGTGAACAGTCTGTAGGAATTATTAAGTTTCTGTCCAGAAGAGTTTTTAACATACTTGCAAATGTTACACGTTTTCAGTTGATAGGAGACTTCAGACTTAGTATAAACAGAGCTTAGAAATTACACACATTTATGTAGCTTATACACAGAGGGTTCACTTTTAAACAAAAATAAATAAAGACTTGGATACAATAGCAAAGGAGTTGTACTCATAAGAACAAGAGATGGATGAGGTAATTAGTAACTAATACGCTGAGTAGGAATTTGATGAGTTCAACTCAAATCATAACAACAGAAGGCAAACAAAATTACATTGTAACGAGGGGGAAGAGGTTAAAGCCAACGATTACGTAATCAAATGAAAACGAGAGAGAGAAAAAGCGTCCGGTTACCAGGACAAGGAAAGTCTGATATCTACTTCTTTCTAAACAGGTAAATCAGGTTTCAGGCATTTGATAGAAATTACTATCGCAAACTTGAGAAGGATTGAACTATATTGTCTACTGATAATTTTAAAGGATTCGATAGTGTTCACCTCATGACTCATATCGATGAGATGTCTGGTAATACTACTTCTATAGGCTTTTATTCCCTTGAGACGTAGGGTTTTTGTTACAGGTTCAGAAAGTCGAAGGTGTGCTCTTCTTTGAGTTGTTCAAATGTAACTACTACTACCATAGATAGGTGTAAATTTGTATGCACAGCTAGACCTAACATAAGAAGGACATCTCTTTACCCTTTGATTGGATCAGAGAGCATGTTGTCCAATGAATAAGAAGTGACTTAGCTGCAGGATAGACTTTGACTAGTAAGATATTCAATCTTCTGTTGACTAGTCTTCCAATATTATTGCCTTTAATATCGATTTGGTAGAAGATAGGCTTCTTTTCCACTGTGATGTGCTTTTCATGTGAACCTTCACATCAGCCATATTTGTTAATGAATTTCTAAGGCTAACCTCTGTTTTTCAATAATATCTTTTCGAGAATCATAAATTCTTCATCGAATTTCTCTGCGGAACATACTCTCCTGGCTCTACAAAACAGAATTCTGATGAAATTTAAGTGTTCTTTAATCCATGTAAGCTTTCAGTGAACTGATCTCTAAAGACTGTTAAATATATTCCAGGCATTGCATGGTGATGTCAATTTCGTAAATACTCCTACCGTTTAAGCGTTGCATTAATTTAATATTCGCTTAGTTATCACCACCTTGACATATTTTTATCGAATAATTATTGTTGACAAACTTATCGCTACAAGACAGGTTAATTTTCATATTGCTACATTCTGCTGTCTTCTAAATGGGGATTTTCGCCATATTGAAATAAAAAGTTGGCCAACTGCTGTTTATCAACGTTATTGATTAATTATTAATCAGAATAGGTACATCGAAAAGAAAAAAACAACAACAACAATATAAGTAATTAATTCTAGCAATCACTAATCAGCCAAAAGAAAAAAACAAAACCTATTTGAGTTGAAGTCAATCTATTAGATTAAATAACACCCTCACATTGATTTTCATTGCTACTTTTAGACAATGGACGCCAGCATGCTGGCTTATTACCACACACAGGAAATCACCAACTGTGTCAGATCAATAAACAGTGTAACAAGATGATAGTGTAAACAATTCGGCTAGACTATTATGTCTAAATTCTAGTTCATTCATAATCATATTATGGTGTTTGAATGGCTTAGCAATATATACCTTTACTGTCACTTTATAATAGTACTATTGATATATATGCTACATATGACGAAGTCATTCAGAATACAGCACTATGGATGGAATAAAATTTGGACACATTAATTCTTATGTATCTGAACAGCCTAGCAACAAGCACTATGCCGACAGTCAGAAAGTAGCATTATATTCTTTAGTGTATGATTCATTCATTGCTAGTAATAATAGAGATAACTTTGATTAAATTATCGCCAAACAATTAACAAGTATTGGAATGATTACGTTCCTGCATTATTTCAGTAGTCGAGTAGATTGCAAATAACGTTAGCATATATTAGTGATATTGTTTTCGAAAGTTAATTGAACTAATGACGACGTATCATAACATAATGAAGTATACTGAAGTCAGAATTAAGTGATATCGCATAAACATATTAACACTATGATTCATTAGTTGGCAAATAGTTATATTTAAGAGATGCTTCTATAAGGATCATTAATAGGTCATTCAATTGCATTAATGTATACGAATCCTAGGGTTGATGGTATAAAACATGTATCCAGGTTGTTCAAATACGTGAGAATAAATGTATCCAAATTCTAGTTCAATCATATTCTTTTGCATTTCAGTGACTATGCTACATCGCTTGTACTGTCAGTCAATTCCGGTTCACTAATAATCTTTTAGGTCTGAAAGGCTTAGTGACATGCTTGATAACTATAATCCACTTGTGCAGTTAAATGAATTGCCACTTCATCCAAATAATTAATAAAATAAGCCAAATATTAGTTGCCTCATAAAGTCAAACTTAAAATAAATAAAAATGCAAACATGCATCGGACATTGACGAAATGACTGATTACTTGAAGAAAAAGCATAACTAGTCTCACAGATGATTATCACTTCAGGTTGTCCACATTTCATAGAAAAAACGTACATAAAAGTGAAGTAAAGGAAGGGAAAGTGGATGAAGATTTACAGGAGAGAGAGAGTATAGTTAAATGAAGATCAGTGGATATTTTCAGAAACTTTACGATAATAAGGAGTGATGAATGTATCTGCACCACTGTGAACGATTATCAACCATGTCACCAATAGTACCTATACCAATGACTCTTGAAACCTGGAAGATCACAGCCTAGCAACCTAAGCCTCCTTATGCGGCTGAGATCAACGGTCAATAACAGAAAAGAGTATCATTATGTTTCTGAATAGTTGGACATAAATCTTTCTTAACCTAATACAGCTTCATTTCATATGGCTACAAACTCCAATGACTCGGCATGATAAAACTAATCACGAATTTATGAAAATAAATTGGTTCACTTATATATATGCCAATAATGAAGCAATAAAGCATCGATGGCATAGCGGAAGAATGCTCGCCAGTCACACAGGTGGTTCGGGGTTCGATCCCCGGCCGACGCTCGCCCTTACCTCGCTAAGTCAGTAATAAGATTGGCAAAGAGGGAACGTTGGACATGAGGCTAGCAGCCCTATCCCGTAAAAATAGACACTGCTGCTACCGAGACTTCAAGCCTCTAGTTTGAAGCCCTATGTTTCACTGGGAACGTAAAGGAATAGAATAAATGATAAATAATATCCGAGGTGTTCTAGGGTGACATCTTCAGTCACTGTTTCTATAAAAATGACTTTCAAAGTGTTTTTCAGAGTTTAGTTGGGATTTTTACCTTCATAGATTATTACTACAGTAAACATTAGAAATGATATTAGATAGTTGGAGGTAATCAGAGGGAAGCCACACCTGACTTAGGTTTCATGCTTGTTAGCACTCGTCAGTAGGAACTTATGTCCCTTCTGAGATTCGTATCACCTAGTACTGGAGTCAGAGACGTTAACACTCAGCTATTCGGGCTGGCGATTGACCTCCTGTAGGACTGTATTGGATACTTTGATTGGACACTAGTAACTAGTGTGATGTGTCTAGTCCTCTCTTTGGTGCAGACTGAATTCTCTCAGTCAGGTTTGCAATGTGGTCACCATTCTAGGTAGCTCCCCATTTAGGTGCACATTGATTTGATGATATCACGGATACTCCTTGCTGACTGGTGAGTGCCAACTAGCACGAGACCTAGGTCCAAGGCTTCCTGCAGATTGCCTCCACCTATCTAATATCATCAAATCAATGTGCACCGTGACGGCGAGCTACCTAGAATGGTGGCCATATTGCAAACCTGACTGATGGAATTCAGTCTGCACCAAAGAAAGGACTAGACACGTCACACTAGCTACTAGTGTCCAATCAAACATAAGAAATAGTGGACCAACACCCTGGCTTACAGGCATTCTCCTTCATTTCAGCAACATGAAATTTCTATAAATTTCTATTTTGGTTTTTAATCAAATTATGAATAATGACTTTTTGCATACATAAAGTCTTAATCTGAAAATACTTCTCAGTTTACTTTTTCAACTAAGTGGAAGATGGAAAATTAAAAAAATAAAAGTGGAGTGTTTGCGTTTGAATAGAGTTACACAATAATTCTTAAGTCTATCTTAGAAAAAACAAATTCAGTTGGAATTGAAATAGTGCAAAAAAAGACATATTACTCAAATTACTCTTTGTTTGTTTGAATTTTCCCATTGATTGATTTAATCGGACCAAAAATGCTCAGTCTCGGTTTACATGTCTTCGCCTAGTGCAAACGAATCTTGATGTGAGTTTGAATCTCAATG